GGAAACCTATTCAGATGGTGCCTGGAAGCACAGGAAGTGTTGAAAAATGTTGCAGGCTAGCATTGCCTTTGGGGCTTAGTGAGCAGGTCTCTTAGTCTCCTACAGTTGTAGAATAGTAGAGATGGACAGAAACTTGGAGGAGTGGTTTTCAAACTTCTGAACAAAATCCTTAGTAAGAAGTAGATGTATTATGTTACTTGCCAGTAAAATGAGGAGTTATTTGCACATTTTTTCAGTAATCATTAAAAACGGGGCTGTAATTACTCCTGATGTTTACCTCTTTATGTTGTTTCATTTAAAAACTCTGATAGCCCTATGATAGAATAGCAAGCTATTTAAAGGTGCATACATAGCCAAACAGAAATGTTAGGAAACAAGACCTACTTCTATTTTTTTTTAAACTTTTATTTAATGAATATAAATTTCCAAAGTACGGCTTATGGGTTACAATGGCTTCCCCCCCATAACTTCCCTCCCACCCGCAACCCTCCCCTTTCCCACTCCCTCTCCCCTTCCATTCACATCAAGATTCATTTTCGATTCTCTTTATATACAGAAGATCAGTTTAGCATGCATTAAGTAAAGATTTCAACAGTTTGCTCCCACACAGAAACATAAAGTGAAAAATACTGTTTGAGTACTAGTTATAGCATTAAATCTCAATGTACAGCACACTAAGGCCAAAGATCCTACATGAGGAGTAAGTGCACAGTGACTCCTGTTGTTGACTTAACAAATTGACACTCTTGTTTATGGCCTCAGTAATCACCCTAGGCTCTTGTCATGAGCTGCCAAGGCTATGGAAGCCCCCTGAGTTCACTGAATCTGATAATTTTTAGACAAGGCCATGGTCAAAGTGGAAGTTCTCTTCTCCCTTCAGAGAAAGGTACCTCCTTCTTTGATGACCTGTTCTTTCCACTGGGATCTCACTTGCAGAGATCTTTCATTTAGGTGGTGGTTTTTTTTGTTTTTTTTGTTTTTTTTTTTTTTTTTTCCAGAGTGTCTTGGCTTTCCATGCCTGAAATACTCTCATGGGCTTTTCAGCCAAATCTGCGTGCCTTGAGGGCTGATTGAGGCCAGAGTGCTGTTTAGGACATCTGCCATTCTATGGGTCTGCTGTGTATCTCACTTCCCATGTTGGATCATTCTCTCCCTTTTTGATTCTATCAGCTAGTATTTGCAGACACTAGTCTTGTTTATGTGATCCCTTTGGTTCTTAGTCCTACCATTATGATCAATTGTGAAGAGAAATTGATCACTGGGACTAGTGAGATGGCATTGGTACATGCCACCTTGATGGGATTGAATTGGAATCCCCTGGTATGTTTCTAACTCTTTTTTAAGATTTATTTATTTATTTGAAAGTCAGAATTAGAGAGAGAGAAAGGGAGATACAGAGAGAGAGGGAGAGGGAAAGACAGTGACAGAGAGAGGGAGGGAGGGAGAGAGAGAGAGAGGGAGAGAATCTTCCATCCACTTGTTCACTCCCCAGATGGCTGCAATGGCCAGGGCTGGGTCAGGCCAAAGCCAAGATCCTGGAACTTCATCTGGGTCTCTCCTGTGGGTGCAGGGGTCCAAACACTTGAGCCATCCTCCACTGCTTTCCCAGGTGCATTAGCAGGGATATGGATTGGAAGTGGAGCAGCTGGGACATGAACCGGTACCCATATTGGATGCTGGCATTGCAGGCAGTGGCTTTACCTGCAACACTCCAGTGCCAGCCCTGCAACATCTCTTACATAACAAGAACTTGGCCCCGGACCCAGCCACTCAAGTTGGCCAGGCTGTGAAGCCCTGCCTTTGCTGCTTTTAGGTCCTGCAAGTGTGGAACAAGGGCTTCTCCTGATTCACTGCCACTCAGAACGCTCAGACAGACGTGTGTGGGTCACCCAGACACACTTGAAAAATTCCCGAATCTGAAGAAAGATCTGTTTTCCACACTGCATTGGCAACACAGTTGGAAAGTTACTTGAATGTTTTTCAAAAATTGTTTATAGATTTGAAAACTGTTTGGGGTTTGTGATTGCTTCTGTTGTTTGCCTCTTTATATCATCTCGTTTTTCAAAATTTAATAAACACTTTGCAGAGGAGCAAAATAATTGGTCACACACTTGTGGGTTCCCAGATTTGTTTTACATGTGCATGCAATACAGAGTAACTCAAAACATGTTCAAGCCCAGTGCGTCAAATCGTCTCTGATGCTGTGGTCAAGACCAAAGCAGGACTGGATTGAGCACCCACGGCCCCAGACCACATCACTCATCAGGCCTCTGACCACAGGGTTTGTGGGATGGATTATGGACCCAGTGACGCATGTGGCGCCATCACGGCCTACTGCTGGCCGGAAGCTGCTGTGACAGCTCCCACAGACGGCTGAAGCACAGTCTGGGGTCCCTTAGTGCTGGGTGATCTGCCCAATCCCGACACTGAAGGAGGGAACTGCTACTTTCGGAAGCCACAGGATGCAGTGGACACTCTGCTCGCTCCTTCCTCTTGACCAAGCCCCTGCCCCACAAAGGGCTGCCAAGCAGGATTTATCTTTGGCCAAGTCCCAGAGCAGGTAAAGATGGAATTATCTCATTCCCTTCTTTGTCTGCCACCTTTAGGACCTGCTTCCTCAATCTGGTGTACCACAGAAGCCCATTATTCACAGGGAGGGAGTAGTAGACCCTGTGGGTTTTCTTTTATTCTCAGATCCTTTGCTGGTATTTCTCTATAGAGGTCATTGATCTGCTCCTATCTATCTATCTATCTATCTACCACCTATCTATCATTGATCTATCTATTTCTACTCTCATCTATATATCTGAAAGGAAGAGCAACAGTCAGCAGGGTGGTGGGGGGACAGAGAAAGAGAGAGGGACCTCCCTCCCACTGGTTCACTCACTCCCCAAATGGCCACAAATAGAGATCTGTACCAGGCTAAATCCAGGAAACAGGAACTCCATCTGGGTCTTCCACGTGGGTGTCAGGGTCCAAGCATTTGGGCCATCTTCTGCTGCTTCCCCAGTAGGGGGCTGGACAGAAGGCAGAGCAGCTGGGTCTCGAAATTGGCATCCTGATATGCGATACCAGTGACAAAGGTGGTGGCTTAACCTGCTGGGTCACAAGTGCCCTAGATCTGCTCTTTTTATCTGGGATGATTCAGTTCTTGATTCTCTAGCATGGGAACATTCCTGAGATGGTTTCAAACCAGCTCTCCATTTCCACTGCACTCGACTTCAACACAACATTTTGTACCTAATAAAGCTTGGTTAACTTGAAAGTTTTTCCTTTGCTTTTATTTTCCCATGAGGAAATCTGTTGAAAGGTTTTGTGAAAATGCCAGCAGTCTTTTAAGTTATAATCTCGGAGAAATAAAGAAACACAGACAGAATATAGTATCAATGGAAGCAATGCTTCTTGGTCATTCAAGCTAAAAATTTTTATGCATCTGAAATCTGCAACCAAGGCTGATCAGATGTTCATTCTCTAAATCATTCATTCATTTCTACATTCATTTACTGGACATTTCAATTAGCAGCACAGTTTAGATTGTTACTGCCCTTCACATTATATCTAGATTTATGCCAGTATACTGTATTGGAATGCGGATTTCCGGTTCACATCTGTATGGCTTTGCCATTTCTGAGAAAGAATCCAGAAATCCTCACCGCCTGCTCACAGTGCACATTAGCTGTCCACAGGGAATTACAGCTGCAGATATTTTCTTCACCTCATACTTGGTTGCAAGATTTTTTACAAATTACTGTAAGTCTAATGTTGCTATAAATCTCATACAACATTTCCAAACAATTAAAAATGAAGAAAACAGTAAAACAGTTGTGGTTCACATTTATAGAAGGAGCAGCATTGTAGTACAGTGGGTTAAGCCACTACCTGGGATGCCCACATTCCATATAGGAGTGGCGGTTCAAGTCCTGAACTCTGAGTTTCTGATCCACCTTCCTGCTAAATACACCTGGAAGGCAGTGAATGATGGCCCAAGTATTTGGATTCCTGCTACCCAAGTGAGAGGCCCAGGATGATTTCCCAACCTGTGCCTTCAGCCTGGCCTAACCCCAGGTATTGGAGGCATTCATGAACCAGCGGATGAAAGTCTCTGTCTCTATCTGCCTCTCTTTCTCTGTCATTCTGTCTTTAAAATAAAATAAAATGTCATACTGTGGCATACAATGGTGTACTTGGAAGTAGAGTTTTTTTTTTTTTTTTTAAATAAATATTATCCAGCCTGCGCCGCGGCTCAATTGGCTAATCCTCCACCTGCGGCGCCAGCATCCCGGGGTTCTAGTCCCGGTCAGGGCGCCGGATTCTGTCCCGGTTGCCCCTCTTCCGGGCCAGCTCTCTGCTGTGGCCCAGGAGTGCAGTGGAGGATGGCCCAAGTCCTTGGGCCCTGCACCCCATGGGAGACCAGGAGAAGCACCTTGCTCCTGCCTTCGGATCAGCGCGGTGCGCTGGCTGCAGCACGCCGGCTGCAGCAGCCATTAGGGGGTGAACCAACGGAAAAGGAAGACCTTTCTCTCTGTCTCTCTCTCACTGTCCACTCTGCCTGTCAAAAAAAATATTATCCTCCTTGTTAGCCATGATTAAACATTCAGACCCAAAGCTTTTGTAATGTAAATACAGTCAAAATGGTGTGACAGTTTATTTTATTAACTACATGGTTAATTATCTTCATCCATAGTTACATAAATACAGAGGCCATGGGACTAGTCTAGCCAAAACATATCCCACACCTATAACTGACAATTCCTTTCTTGTCCCTCACTCACTGTGCAGAGATTAAGTTGTAGCCTCTGACTCCTAACTTGATTTTCTATGAGGGTACTCCAAAAATTCATGGAAAAATGGAATTGAAAGATAAGTTTATTTTGTTGTAAATTTTTTGGAAATCTTTTTCAAAAGACATATTTTGCACCAACTTTTTGAAGTCTCCTTGTATTATCTGTTTAGTGTTACTGGGACCAGGACTCTGAAAACTATTTTCCTTTTATTTCCAGTTAGGTTCAGTCAATGAGAGACATTAGAGGAAGGAAGTGGAAGATCGGGGGAACTGGACTTCTCATCTGTGCATCTACGTTGGCCTAACGGTGTTGTCCCAGAAGTGGCACTGGGCCTCAGCTCCTTTCCGCACTCTGAGGACTGGCCGCTCTGTATCCCCTATAGGAATCACAGCATCCAGGCGGTTCCCATGTCTCAAAGCTCAGCTCCCCTCCTCCACATGGCCTCTTCTCTGAACCGACAGATTGCTGCCCTATCAACTGTTTGCTCTTTAACCCTCTACATTCCTCCACTGAATTCCAAGAGTGAAACTCCTGGTGCTGTGATCATGCTCTTCAGGGTCCCTCTTTGGAGATGGCCTCCAAGAAGGAGTTACATGATTGGTTTTGTTGTATGTGTGAGTGTAAACGCAGTGCTGATACCTTGCTAATGGAAATGAAATGCTAGTATTTCATGGCATGCAGTGGCATCTCCATTAAATGTGACTAACAGTGATAAAGTGCCTATTGAGCCAGTCTTTGAGGAGACCAAATGGGTGCTGAACTTGGCCTTCATGGTAGCAGAGTGACAAGAGAAGCATAATTTCAAGGACAATGGGGTGAGAGGGTCACCTTGGATGAATTGGGGGCCTTATAAGAGGACAATGACAAGTTTACTGTTTTAAACTCTTAGCTCAAATTATAGTCAAACAACTAGAGAGATTTTTGTATGGGGGTCTCTAACGATTCTCTCCTAATAACAACAGAGTTGTCCTCATTAAAAATCAGACTCAGAACTTAATTATGTAGATTGCAAAATAACACAAACTCACTAAGCTTTTTATGTGAAAGTTGGGGCATTGACTGGGAACGAGGAGACCCTGACACCTGCAAATGGCATCTGAGTTAATTGTAATAAAGTGGAATCTTTATTACATAAAGTGAATCTCCTGATGGCCATGAGTCTCCCTTCTCAGTGGTTTGAGAAGACTAGTTCATTTTGCATGAAGACCCTGTAATAATGTCACATGGGACAGCAGCCCTCCAAGAGAATGCCCATTTTCCTCAAAACCAGTCAACTATTATTTACCATCCCTAGTTCTTTATCTGTCATTATATCTTGGCCACATTTAATCTAAAAGAAGGTAGCATTTACTTTTTTAAAAAAAGAGATTTATTTATTTATTTGAAAGGCAGAGTTACAAAGAGGCAGAGAGAGAGAGAGAGAGAGAGAGAGAGAGAGAGAGAGAGGTCTTCCATCCGCTGGTTCAATCTCCAGATGGCTGCAATGGCCAAAATTGTACCGATCCGAAGCCAGGGGCCAGGAGCTAGGAGCCAGGAGCCAGGAGCCAGGAGCTTCTTCCAGGTCTCCCATGTGGGTACAGGGGCCTAAGGACTTGGGCCATTCTCTACTGCTTTCCCACACCATAGCAAAGAGCTGGATCAAAAGTGGAGCAGCCAGGACAGGAACCAGTGCCCATATGGGATGCTGGCACTGCAGGTGGCAGCTTTACTTTTTAAAAAATTAAGATCTTGTTAATATATATTATATATATAATAAATATATTTTGTTAATATATAATGATATATATCTAAGATCTTGTTAATATGTAATGACAAAACATGGCATATGTTTGTGAATGATGAATGTGAAATGGATTAAATCATGGCCTTGAACTAAATTATTGACATGGATACACTTAACAAAAGTTCTGGATTGGCCATAATTGTCTCACTCTTCCCTGCTCACTACCAAATTTCTTCAACCACCTCCATTCTGTCCTGTTCCTCAGTTCATCACAGTCAATTAAATCTATTGTTGCTCTGCCTCTTCTATGTTATCATCTCCTTTATCCATTTCTCTTTTTCTTCCTACTTCCTTTCCCTCTCCTCTCTCAAGAGATAAAAAATAGGAAGGATAGTGCTAGTGATAAGCTCATATCAATGAATAGGAAATTCATAAAATTAAGCCACAGTAAGAGCCATGTCATCAAGTTCCAAGGGTATTCCTGCACTAAACACTCCCCCTTCAGTTTCCATCACAACTCCCCTTGGCTTCCTTGTTCTCATCCAGTGAGGATCTGAAGATTATTTTTTCACCAATATGGTAACTGCATTTCTATTGTCTTCTGTGATACCTCCCTTCTGTAATTTATCAATGCAAATATTTTATTCCCACTAACAGTTTGATTTTTATTCATATATTTGTTTTTTGTTAATAACCTGGAATATATTGATAATTTTATGATGAATTTTAGGAGAAAATGCATTCAAAGTGGCCAATAGGGTTGGGCAGTTGGCTTGGTGGTTATGATGCCCATGGATGCAACTCTTGGCTCCAGCTTCTGACTTAAGATTCCTGCTAATGCAGACCCTGGGAGGCAGTGGTGATGGTTCAAGTGATGAGTTCCTCTATCCACACGGAGACCTCAATCAAGTTCCCGGTTCCAGTCTTTGTTTGGGCCCAGTGCTGGCCTTGGCAGGCATTTGGGGAGTAAAGCAGCTTATGTGTCTGCCTCTCAAATAAACATTTTTTTTAATGCAACTAACCAACTTCAGAGAGACTTTTTGAAATAGAGACTATATGTAGGCTGAATACTATTTGGATCATTTTCTTTTCAAAAAGTTATTTATTTATTTGAATGTCAGATTTACACACAGAGATAAGGGGAGGCAAAGAGAGAGAGAGAGAGAGAGAGAGAGAGAGAGATCTTCCATCAGCTGGTTCACTCCCCAGTTGGCTGCAACAGCCAGAGCTGCGGCGATCTTAAGCCAGAAGCCAGGAGCTTCCTCTGGGTTTTCCCATGCAGGTGCAGGGGCCCAATGACTTGGGTCATCTTCTACTGCTTCCCAGGCCACAGCGTAGAGCTGGATCAGAAGTGGAGCAGCTGGGACTTGATCTGGTGCCCATTTGGGATGCTGGTGCTGCATGCAGTGTCTTTTCCCACTATGCTACAGCACCAGCCCCTGGATCATTCTTTAGATAAGAACTGAAGAAGGAAACCATTAATTGGGTTAAAGAAGTGAGATCACAGACTCTGGGGCCAGATTATCTGGGTTCAAATCCTAGCTCTGCCACTTCTAGCTGTGAGACCTTGGGCAAAATATAAGGAACTTTTCTGACTGTGGACATCTTGGTCCATTTTCTAGTATTGTAACAAAATACTTGAAGCTGAGTGCTTTACAAAGAAAACACTTAACTCACAACTTTGAGAGGCTCAAAGTCCAAGATGATGTGGCATCATCTGCTTGGTCTCTGGTGATAACATAGCAGATGTCATCATGGTGGGAGTGTGTGCTAAAGAGGAACCTCACATGAGGAGACAGGAAGCCAAAAAGATTCTGGGGCTAGGGTCATGATTTTTAAAACAACGTTCTATCACAGGCACTAATCTGGCTCCTATGAGAATCACTTTAATCCCTTCTCAGGGTAATACTCCCAATGAGATTAATCGCCTTCCACAAGGCCATCTCTTAAAGGTTCTACCAGCTCTCAACGTTCCCAAGTTTCAGCATAATGAAGCTTTGGGGGACACACTCCAAAGAACAGCACTGGGTTTTTTCATTTGTAAAATGCACCAATCATATGAGGTGGCATGACAATTCAATGAACTGATAGATTTAATGGGTAGAATAGCACCTGGCACATAGTAAGCAATGTATGTGTAAGCTTTGTAGTTAGGCTGTATGAGGACATTATTTTTTATCCTGATTTTATAGATAGGAAACTAAAATTTAGAGATATTCAATAACATCCTTGGGAAGCACAGCTGGCAAATGAAAGAGCTGAGATTTGAAGCCACACCCATTAGGTTCTGAAGTTAATGGCCTGTCTTGCCATGAGGCTTCCCTTTTAATAATCAAACATTCAGAAATTCATGTACCACATCACAGAACCCACAGACTAAATAACTTCTACATATAAGAGTTGCATTCACATAAGTGGTTTTTTTTTTTTAATTTGGAAGACTGCTTTTAAAAAATACTAATAGTTTTGTGCCAAAAATAAGGATTGTTTTTGATGATATGAAGGAAAAGGAAGAGAAAGTAGACAAAGTGCTCTCCAGTCTAGGATAATTCTCAAAAAGGGGCTGTAGAAATACTGATTTCTAGATTAAGAGAAACAGTCCCTTGTTGATAGTCTAGTCTCTGCCATTTCATGTTTTGAAGAAAGAGGAGAAAATCCTAATGTTTCTTCTAATTTATAACCTGTTATACAAAAAAGAAGCCTTTTATGAATTTTTAATTTTTTTTTCATTTAGCTGATTCTCTTGCTGAGAAAAGTGACTGCCAAAGAGTTGTGCCTACTATGAGCAATAAACATTGACAGTATCTGCTGTATTAATAATTTAAACATAATTAATCAACCAAAATGATCTGGCACAAGTGAATCATACAGAGTTTTAAAAATCCTAGTGTATTGGGGCCGACGCTGTGGCTCACTTGGTTAATCCTCCATCTGCGGCGCCGGCATCCCATGTGGGCGCCGGTTCTAGTCCCAGTTGCTCCTCTTCCAGTCCAGCTCTCTGCTGTGGCCCTGGAGGGCAAAGGAGGATGGCCCAAGTACTTGGGCCCCTGTACCTGCATGAGAGACCATGAAGAAGCACCTGGCTCCTGGCTTTGGATCGGCGCAGCGCCGGCTGTGGCAGCCATTTGAGGAGTGAACCAACGGAAGGAAGACCTTTCTCTCTGTCTCTCTCTCTCACTGTCTATAACTCTACCTGTCAAAAAAAAAATCCTAGTGTATTTAAACTAGCAGTTATTAAATGAATATTTATCCTAAGTATTGTCAAAGATGTGCTAGATAGGCCAATGATTTAACATTCATTCTATTGCATGTTCATCTTCCTGTTTTTATCACGATCCATCACTAAACCTGAGTAGGCTACTTATTATACATGGAATCAAGTTAAAGGTCCTCTGTAAAATGTCTATATCCCATCTACCATGATCTGATGCTCAACATGTGGTTTTGATTGGTTGGACATTCATTTTAACTGGTCAGTCTCCATGTCTTATTTTTTTAACTTTTATTTAATGAATATAAATTTCCAAAGTACAGCTTATGGATTACAATGGCTTCCCCCTCATAACGTCCCTCCCACCCGCAACCCTCCCCTTTCCCTCTCCCTCTCCCCTTCCATTCACATCAAGATTCATTTTCAATTCTCTTTATATACAGAAGATCAGTTTAGCATGCATTAAGTAAAGATTTCAACAGTTTGCTCCCACACAGAAACATAAAGTGAAAAATACTGTTTGAGTACTAGTTATAGCATTAAATCTCAATGTACAGCACACTAAGGACAGAGATCCTACATGAGGAGTAAGTGCACAGTGACTCCTGTTGTTGACTTAACAAATTGACATTCTTGTTTATGGCATCAGTAATCACCCTAGGCTCCTGTCATGAGTTGCCAAGGCTATGGAAGCCCCCTGAGTTCACCGACTCTGATCATATTTAGACAAGGTCGTAGTCAAAGAGGAAGTTCCCTCCTCCCTTCAGAGAAAGGTACCTCCT